CTAAACAATTATAAACATAATCAAAACAAATTATTAAAAGGGAAAGTTGAATTCGCCGTATTAAATAAAAATTCAGACGAGAAAGATGCATTAGAATCATAATAAGAGTTATTGTGTGCGTAATAATATAACGGTGATGATGAATTCAATGAGAACGATGCAGTCAGCACCAAAGTATTATGTGTTACATTGGAAATTTTGTTTTATTTCGCATGTGTTAAATAATTTGTTTTACATGAACTAATGATAAGGTTTTTTGAAAAATAAAATCTGTAATTTAAATTCCTGATGGCCAAAATTTATCTTAAGCATCTTTTCTTACCAATTTGGAACATTTTATGAGAGATTCGTCAATTTTTAGTGTAGAGGAAACATAATTCATTAAGTTCTGAGATAGAGTGTTTCTTTCAAAAGGAGAGATATGTAGCCATTTCTTACGCTGTACAACAACTAATTCATATAAGTTTCCGTCTTTACCAGGAATAGACTGAAGATCGCATTGTTCAATTACATTATTAACATTCATATCCGTAGATACTGAATTTCGAGCATTTTAGTCAACAAATAGATTCACAAAATGAACTTAAATTCACATTTAAATTAATATTTATTGAAACGCTACATTTAGAACAAATTACCACTGTTTTGATAAAAACAGTTCTTTGAATAAAGAAGAAAAATTTTTAATGTTAACGCAATGAGATGAGAATAAAATATGTATGTATATCTTTATTATATGTAGATAAATATACATAATGTATGTAGATATTCTGCTTTTAAAAATTGAAATCATGTCAATCGTATGTAGATATTGGTATTTGCTTACATAGTAATGTACCTTTAACATTACTATTTAAGCATTATAGTTATACATTATATTGCTATGTATGCATGTCTAACCATGTATATCTCCTACATGTGCTAATTATGTGAATAGTTCAATGCATATACTTATCAAAATAAAACTAAAAAACCAACAGAAGTAAAACAAATCCAATCTAACAAGTCCCAATACTCAATTTTTTTTACGAAATATTACGAATTTTTGGCTTCGTTGCTGGTTTTTTCTTTAAACGCCATTGATCGTGTCATATTTTTTATTATTTTTTTCTTTTTTTACCTAAAAAAGAGTTTAATATTTTAAAAAATCTCAGGATATTATACACATTTTTTAAAAAGCTTCCCATTTAAATTCTATTGCACGAAAAAGAAAGAAAGGTAGGAGGAAAGAAAAAATGATAAAAAATTTCAAATTCATAATTCAGTATGGTTTCAAATGTTAATGAAGAAGGATGTATGATTTTTCATGCACATTTTGTATTTCTCAATAAGGTAAGTTGAATAGTGTCGGGTAACAAAAATGTTAGTAAAAGTAATATCTATAGGTTGACACATTTCAACAATTTGAATTATCTCGTTTCGGTGATTTATACGTTACTTAAAAAATTGTTTCAAATAATTTCAGTTAGTTTTTAAGTTATTAAAAATAAATATGTATCTACCTACTTCCAATCAATTTTTTTTTAAATAATTATTTTAAAACTATTTCAAACATGTCATATTGACTGCTTCAAAAATTTTGTTGTTCTCTGCTTTCATATTTTATTACCAGGTAAACAAGAGCAATCTATTTACAAAATGGCCCTGCCTGTTTATGAATCTTAATAGTAAACGCAAACGGACAAAAATTTACATCAGTACTTACTACCTGTCATTTTACAATCGGAGTTTTTGAGTCATTTGCTATTCGTAAGATATTATTTATTTTAAAAATAAAAAAGATATTCGAATCCGGTCATAAAAATATATTATTGTCTTTTCCAAAACCTTTCAAATATTTTTTTACTTAGGTAATATATTAAGTTTTAAAAATTTTTCTCAAAAATAGAGGTAACTTTTAGTAGTGTATATAAAATTTGTATTTAAAAAATAATATTTGATTGTATTTTAGATATTATTTTCTAATTCCCTCTTAAAACTTTTTTTTTACTATGTATTTACATCAATATTCAATAATTATCTTTCATTAATTATATTTTCAACTTGACACCACAGTTACTTCCCATATCTTGAGTTAACGTACCCTATGAGAAAAAAAAAGCTGTTCACTTAAAAATAATGAAATGCTTTGAGTAACATTTAAACATTGAAGGCGAAGGTTGTGCTTGTTGTTTTTCCGCTGTTTCAAGAATTTTAAAATAATTATAAATGAAAATATTAATATATTTTCTTGATTTTTCAAATATATTTTAGAAATTTTACCTGCTTTATAATAAGTGTGAATTTATTTTAATATTTCTTCTCAAAAAATAGCCACTTCGATTTAAAAAAAACTTGCTTTCAAGTTTCTCTCTTAGCATTGGGACTTCTTAGATGTAAAGACATTAATTAAGAAATGAGAAAGGACTAACAAAAAAGGGAATAACAAAATAAAGATAAAACTAGAAATATACTTCTGCTCCGCCAATGTGGTATTCCAGAATTGTTTTTTTAAGTAGATTTATCTTGTTGGTACACCTGAGCTTTTATTATACTGCACAGGAAGTTGCGTTACAAAACTATCGATATATCACAAATACCGATGATGCAATATATCGATAGTTCTCCAAAACTGGTATTGCAAAAGTTTCAGACTTCTACAACCTATTTTATACAAGAAAGTCGATATCAAAAATTTCAAAAAACGGGCTTTAGGTAACGGTTAATTTGCAGTCATTTCTTTTTAATATACAGTTATGTTGTGCCGCTGTAAAAAAAAAGCTAGTAGTAATGTTTGAAAAGTTTTAAATATGTTTATGGTTTCTTTGAAATTGGTCTTTGATGGGTTACAATTTTTAGAGGGGTTACAACTTTGAAGGGTGGGGCAGAAATAGCTCTTCTACGGAAATAAGTTTCTAGTAAAGCTCCATTTATATATTATGAAATTTCAGCCCTCTTTCTCCAACTTTTGCAAACGGGTCCAAAGACTGATCGACGGACAGAGAGAAACTACAAGCACTTATTTTCAAAATTTTTAAGGAATCCTAAAAAAATTAAAGAAGAAATAATCAACATCATTAGCATCAAATTCATCAACATCATTTTTAAAATTGTTTAAACATTTCTTGAAATCCTGAAAATATTAAAATTTCAATTTTTATTCAATGTTTATGTTGTGCCAAAAGAAAAAGTCCCTTTTTAATTTTAAGTTTCCGAAAAATTTTATTTCGGTGTACGTAGCGATATCTTACCCAAAAAATGTTTCGATTCGGTATCGCTTTCTTATTTCTGGTTGTGTATATACAAAAGTGTAACCAATAACAAGAAATTGTTATTCTTGTGCTTTGATTTTCTCAAACTTGAAATATATTTTGTTGTATGCACTCGTATAAGCAAAATTTTTAAAAATGATTTAGAAATTTAGACATGCTATAAATCCAAACATCCTATTTTTGCAGGTTTAAATTTTTAATTTGCCGAGATATTTTGTATTAATTTTACGTTAGAACTGATTATTTAAAATACCCAATATTTTCTTCAATATACATACGTATATAAGGATTTTTCAGTAAAATTTTTTAAATACATACATGCCTGCTCAGCGTAAAATTCTGCGTTGAATTAGTCATGTGCGCCCGTCCGTCCGATCGAAAGATAACTCGAAAACGAATAACCGGACCAATTCGAACAACAAGTTCAGGTACCTGCCATACCACTCAAAGAGGTTTTTTTAAATATTTCAAAAACTAACAAAGATATTTATATCAAAATTTGCAAAGATGTGTCTTACAATTTACATATGTTCTAAATATTTTAATGAAATGACTGCACTGGTTCGAGTAGCTACAACTCCAAAAATAAATTTTAAATATTCGGAAAAATAATAAAATCAGATTCATGAAACTTGTCAGTCATGTGCCCAATTATAGTTCACATATATACCTAAAGTTTTGGTGGAAAACCTTAACAGGTTCGGGTGGTTGCCATACAACTCCAAAAGCTAATTTTAAAAATTCGGAAAAATAAAATCAGATTCAAGAAACTTGATAGTTCGGTGTACAATTATAGTTCACATAATGCCTGAAGTTTTGGTGGAATATCTTGACAGGTTCGGGTAACTGCCATACAGCTCCAAAAACTCTTTTTAAATATTCGGAAAAATAATAAAGTAAGATTCATGTAACGTCGCATTAATGTGTCCAATTTCAGGTCAGATATATCCCTGAAATATTGATGGGATGGTTTGACAGGTGCGAGTAGTTGGCATGGAACTCCTAATATAAAATACTCAAAAAAATAATAAAGTTAAATTCATGAAACTTAGCAGTTGTTGTCCAATTTCAGGGCAGATAATATCCTTGAAGTTTTGACGGAATAGCTTGACCGGTTTGGGTAGCTGGCACACAACATCAAAAGCAAATCTAAAATATTCGAAAAAATAATAAAGTTAGATTCATGAAATTTGGCAGTCGTGCGTCCAATCATAGGTTAGACATATTCGTGAAGTTTCTATAGAGTGGTTTGACAGGTTTGAGAAATTAGTATACAACAATGAAAGCCAATTCTAGATATTTCAAAAACAAATTTTTAAATTCAGATTGTCTAGGTACAGGGTATAAATCCCTGAATATTCTCGTTTGTTTTATTTGTTTTCAAAAGCCATCTGGAAATTGTATAAGTATTTTATTTTATTTTTTCTAATTAGATAAAAGTTAAAAAGAAATTGAAGTTGATTTGAATTTTTTTTTTAATTTTTAATTAAAGTTTTTCTGTCTAATGCAGTGCCTTTCCACTGCCCTGATTGGTATCAGAGTAGCCACTCAAATTAAAATTAAAAAAAAATTAAACAATTGATAGGCCAAATATTCAAGAAGAAAAGAGCAAAATGTAAGTAAAAAGACCGGAATTGATGAAACTCTTAGCTTTTGTAACCAAATACTAATTTTTGCACTCTGATTTTAAAAAATTTAAAAAAATAAAAGAAAATAAAAAGAAGAAAAACAAAATTTTTTTTATTTCAGATACCATAGCAAATAAAATAAGTGTAGCAACAGCTAGTTTTCAGGAACAGTAAGTATAATATTTTATATTTAAAACCTAAAACCTAATCTATTTTAAACCGAACTAAAATTCTATATTCAGAGAACATAATTTCTTATATTAAATACTACTTCTGGAAAATACTAAAAATAAATATGTATAATCTACAACTTTTGAAAGTACTATACCGTTACATGAAAAATAGTCTACAGCGCTTTGGGAACAGGATCATTGAGTAATTAGTAATTTTAGAGAATTCAGTAGAAAGCTGATAAGAGCTTCAAGGAAAATGTTCAATAAAAAATTTGAAACTCCACATAATACTCTATTTCGTCTTTATAAAAATGTTATCTTATTAAAATTTTATACTTATAAAATTTTTAGGGATTTTTCGTAAAAAAATCAAAATACTGCGAAAACTGAACTCGGCCGACTTCACATTTTTTCACATCTAAGAAAGTAATTAAACGTAAATAGAAAGTAAATAGGACAACGTTCATTCTGATTCCATTGCGGTTCAAGATTTATTTAAGATTTTACGGTTAGTAAAAAAGACTTCAAAAATATTAAATGCATTCTTATACCAATCGTGTTTTTAGCTTTTTTTCACGCTAAGATTCTAAAATAATCTAAATTTTATAATACAGAAAAATCATTTGCAAAATCCATTGCTAAAGTAGCGTTATTTGAATTGCTGAATAAAATTCAAATTTTTTCCCTGAGTTTGCCTTAGCTGTCTCTCTATATCTTTTTTTATCAGATAAGCCCTTTAAAATTAAGCATTTAGTTTTCAATTTCATAGTTATTATGAGTATTATTATGATTATTATGTTAATGTTGCAAAATTCATACCATTGTTCCCATACGCTTTTCTATAAACATAAAACTATCGAACTGTTCTTAATTATTAACAATTTTACGTTTAATCACATTCAATCGATTAATCACAAATTCGAAAGCTTTTCAAAATATTAATTTATCCTGCAGACTTTGCAAATAATTGCTAAATTTTCTTACTGCTAATATTTACTTAATTGTTTTAGCTGTTTAAAACTAGAAATAGCATAAGATTCGTAGATTCGTAGATTCTAAGGGAACCGAGTGGGACAGGAGCATCCCCCCAAGCCACCGCAGCCATTTTTGACTTATTGTAGCCACCCCACTCTCCCGTCTATAATATCCCCGTCCCAATCACAAAGCCGGCGATATCCCTAAGGGAGTTGGACAATAGTTCCCGAACACTTAGGGACCCATGTCCAAGACAATTGCGGCGCCGAACAGCCAGTGCCGGACAGTCGCAGAGAATGTGCACGGCGGTCTCATCGCCACCCCCACAAAATCTGCACAGGGGGGAGCCCGACTTCCCCAGCCTGTGCAGGCGGTATTTCACCGGGCAGTGCCCCGTGAAGAAATTCGCAATAGTGCGAACCCGGCTCCTGCTCATCCCCAGCAACTCCGCAGCGAATCCGCCGGAGCACGCCGGAACAAACACCTTCGCATGACGGCACCCTTTCGTGTCCCGCCAGTGACGACTGCATTCCGCCGCGAGTAGGCAGGCAAGCCTGGCCCCCACGGCGGAAGAAGGCAGACCACAGAAAGGCAGCGGCTGCACAATGGCAGCCCCAGATCCCCTCCGCGCCAACTCATCGGCAACTTCGTTGCCCGCATGGCCACTATGGCCCGGCACCCAAATGAGCATCACTCTGTTTTCCGATGCCAATTCCATAAGTGCAGCAAGGCAGCTCCAGACCAGCTTGGATGTAACCTGAGCTGAACGGAGCGCCAGCAGTGCAGCCCTGCTGTCTGAGAACACATAGATGGTGCGGTTTCTATACCCCCTTTCCAAATTGATTCTCAGACAGATTTCTATTGCATGTATTTCGGCCTGGAACACTGTGCAATACGGGTCAAGGGTTGCATATACACGCGTGTCCGGGCGGACACCGTATACGCCCGAGCCCAACCCCGACTCCGTTTTGGACCCGTCCGCATACCACACGCTCGAACCCGACCTAAGTACCGGACCACCCCGATCCCACGTCCATCGATCAGGAAACAGAACCCTGTACTTGTGGTCGAAGTTGTACCGCGGCAGACAGGTATCTGACATGGTTATCCTAAGAATCGGATCGCCCTCAATGAAGTCTCTGTGAGTTCTGTAGGCCAACTTTAGCCCTGCCCCGTCCTCGCCAGAGAGAAGTCGGTAAGTCACCAGCCGAGCTTCCTTCAATATATGGAGGTGCAGTGGCGGCAATCCGATCATCACCTCCAATGCAGCGGTGGGAGCCGTCCGCATCGCCCCGGTCACTCCCAGGCAGGCCAGCCTCTGTAGCTTTTCCAGCTTGGCCCGCACACCCGCCTGCTGAGCCTTACGGCACCATACAATCGACGCATAGGTGACGATGGGCCTAGCAAGGGCCGTATATAGCCACAGTGCTATTCTGGGACTAATTCCCCAGGTCCCCCCGATAAAACTCCTACACGTCCACAAGGCCGCCGTAGCTCTCCCGATAACTCTATCGATATGGGTATTCCAAGAGAGACGATCATCCAGGGTTACCCCCAGATACTTCACCTCCCTCGAGTAACTAATACGTTCACCAAACAGAATTGGGCTCGTTAATCTGTCCCTGCTTCTGCGTCTGGTGAAGGCGACCAAGGTGCTCTTGCTTGGATTTATATTTAACTCAACGCCTTTGCACCACCTTTCCACAACACGTAAATTTTGCTGTAGAAGATCAGAAATAGTGCTCTCAAATTTTCCCCGCACGACGAAGGCCACATCGTCAGCGTATCCCCAGACACGCGCCCCGGAGCCCCTGAGAGCAGCTATTAGATCATCCACTACAATGGACCACAGGAGGGGCGAAAGAACCCCGCCCTGCGGACATCCTTTTGCAGCGGAGATGAAGAGTATATCGTCAGCTATGGTGGACTTAATAATCCTATCCTGTAGCATCCGATTGACCCATCTGCTAGTCGTCGCATCAATCCCTCGTTTGTGCAACGACTCACAGATGACATGATATGGGGTGTTGTCAAAAGCTCCCTCTATATCAAGGAAGCAGCCAACTGCTACCTCCCGCACCTCCAGTGAGTTTTCAAGGACCCCCACCAGACTCTGCAGAGCGAGTACAGTAGACCTTCCCGACTGATAGGCGTATTGAGATTCATGCAAGGGATTGCTTCCCAGTGCATCGTCCCGTATAAATCTATCAATCACTTTTTCCATTGCTTTCAATAGAAAAGAAGTAAGGCTGATTGGACGGAAAGACCTTGGGTGGTTGCTTGGTCGCTTATCCACCTTCGGAATATACGTCACTTTAGCCACCCTCCATGCCTGAGGGATGTAACCCCACGCATAGCTGGCGCGAAAAATTCCCAACAGTGCTCTAGCGATATGTTGGAAACCCCTCTGCAAAAATGCAGGATATATCCCGTCATCACCTGGAGATTTGAAGGGCCTGAAAGAGAAAACAGCCCATCTAATCCTGCCCATCGTGAAGACTAGACGGGATCGTTGCCAGTCATCCCTCCTGGGACAGGGTGCCCCCGGTTCAATGACTGCATTTGAGTGATTCCGAAGAATCTCCGAGTCAGGAAAGTGCGTTGACGCCATAAGCTCCAACGTCTGCCTTCCGTTCTCAGTCATGGAGCCATCAGGACGTTCCATTAGGCCCAACCTGCTAGCATACTTTTTGGAAAGCACCCTGTGAAGACGCGCACTGCTGGGGAGTTCATCAATGCCCTTGCAGAACGCCCTCCACGAGATTCTCTTCGCTTTCCTAATTTCTTTATTGTATTTTGTGAGTGAGTCCTTATACTCTTCCCACGAACCTGACGCTTTGGCCCTATTGAATAGCTTCCTGGTCTTTAGTCTAAGCCTTGAAAGCTCCTCATTCCACCACGGGCACTTCCTATTGCTCCGCCTCGGCTTAGCACGGCAGCTCCCGTGATAGGCATTAGTAATAGCCGCCGTCAGGGCCTCGCTGGATAGTTCGATATCCATCACCGTTCTGACAGAAGCAGGAACGGATCTAATCCCATCCATGAGGAGCGTTTCGAATTGACTCCAATCTGTGGATTGGGGCACCCGATAAATTTCTTCCTGGTCCTTAGAACAGTAATCTGGAATGGGAAAATACGTTAGCTTTTTACTAAACAAGATGCAAGCCCTAGGCCTGGCTCCAATTGTATTATCATACAATAGCTCACCTGTTAGGCCCTTAACCTGATCCTTCACTATGTAAGGCTCTTGGATAAGGGCGATATCGAGGTGATCCTTCATAAATCTATGAGCCAGAACATCAGTAGATGCCCTAGCATGCTGTAGATTTATTTGGATGCACCTCACAGCCATATTATTTCCTCCGGCTCTTGTCTATGGGCTTTGGCCCTTTAGACAAAGGCTTTACATGAGCCTTACCTCCCATTGTCGCCTTTTTACACATCTTGGTGGGCGCCTGCCCTGCCACAGCCTCTGCTGCCGCCCCAGGTGCCACGCTAGCCCCTCCAACAGCAAATACCGAAGCATTTCCGGGCTTCACAATGGGCTTGAACCCTTTTGGTTCCCCCGGGACGCTTGTATTTGGCGTGCTGGTCGATGGTCCTTCCGTTTCCCTTGCCGCCATTTTCGGAGCGACTTCAGACTTTCCAATGAGCTTTGGCTCTTTTGGTTGGCCTGAAGTGCTCGTTGTCGCGGTGGGCACTGGTTTTTTATTTTGTCCTGCCCTGCCGCCAGCACCTTGAGAGGATTTTCTTCCTTTAACCCGAACGGTAACACGGAAGAAATTCAGGAAAAGTCGGAACTCCGCTTTCCGTAGATCTTCCAATCCGGAATCATCCACGGAAAAGGTGATGGAGCAGCCCCCGTCCTTTTCCTTATCCATCCTCAGCACCCTCCAGGAACCTATCTTGAGGCTGGGATTTTGCTTCCCTATCCTACTTAGAAATTTGTCCCTGGAGAGACTGACGGTTGTCTCGTCCTTTGGTACGTAGGTGACGCAGACATGCTGTTTGGGCATGCTGTCGCCATCCAGTACCACGACATCGCAACCGTCCCAAGGCTTTATCTTCCTGCAGACACTGGTTATCCACTCCCTGCTGTTTTGATTGTTGCATGTTACGGATATCCATCCGTCCCTTTGCAACGCTGCAGTGAATTGTGGATGAGAGTCCACAACCCTATCCATTTCATCCATGATGGCTACTTTGATTTTCCCCATCTGGACTTCGGATAGCCTTTCCTCTGGATGCAGTCTATGAGTGATGGCCACCTTGACCTGTGCTACTGCATCCCGATAAGAAGTCATTTTCGGGTTTTGTTGAGGAATGTTCCCAGGGACCTTTTCCTCAACATTGCCCTTCATCGACCTCTTCTTTGAGGGCCCTGCATCAGGGGTGTTGCTTTCCGACCTTTCCCTCTTTTGGGGATGGTCGGCCACAACAACCGATCCGCAGGCCTTCAGCTTTTCCAGCCTTTCCTTCTCGTATCTGCGAGCTTCCTCTGGGGACATGCCATCCCTGATATAAGCCGCGATACGCCGCTTGGATGCACCAGAGAAATATTGTTTTTTTCCCCTGATGTCCAACCTTTTCAGGTCCTACTCAGTTTTTTGGATAATAGGTCCAAGAGGATCCTGATTATCCGTCTCCATCGGAGGCGCCGCCTTTTCCTCCACTGGCGTGAGAAGGAGTTCCTCCTCTGCGTCAGTCAAGAGAAGCTCTGGTTCCGAAGACCCTTGAGCACTAAGTGGTTATTTTTGGCAATCAGTCCGATAAAGGACTAGCCGTCCCTGGCCTAGTCTATTCGACTCGCCTAGCCATTCGTTTCGCCGATCATAATAAGGGTAATAATGCCTACTTTATAATAAATAGTATACAGCTGACTACCTAAATACTCATTGTATATAGGTAGTACCTAAAAACAATTAGTACACGTTTATTATTCGTTCATCGCGAAATTGCTCTAAGCTCAGTATAATAGCTAAACAATACGTACATACATATATAATAAAATAGCAAAAGTCGAATTCATCGACTACTTAATATAATACAAAATAAGAAAAAATTATTTTATGTCTTTGAAGATTTAAAAACAATATTTTCAAGGCTAAAGGATAAAATATTTTCAGTAATGGAATAAATTTGATCAACGATGCAGTGTTAATGGCATCGATTTTCTCTAAGCGGAGAGACACGTGTTCAAATGTTGATCAGATCACTATAAAAGCTATGCTCAATATCATAATATATAGCTTAGTATACAAGACTATAAAATAAAAAATTATAAATACAAAAAAAAAGTTAACAAATATCCATTATATTCAATATTTGAAAAAAAAAACAATAATGAAAACATAATTTTGTTTTTTTTTTATACAAAAGTTACATCAAAAGTAATTTTTTTTCGCTGAAGTACACAAAAACTTAATAAATCTACTGAGATTAATGTTTTCAGAAATCCTAGCCCTGAAATAATTTCGTGAAGGTAATACTCGATTAGATAACTCGAAAACTTTACATTTTTGTATAATTAACATACGCGTCATAGAAAAGAATGCTCTTTCGTCTGTGACAAATATTTATACAGTTACCTCAAAAAGTATTAAATATCTCAAAATGATAATGACAAAACTAAATATCTTCAAGGTAGGTTATTGCTATAGCTAGATAACTTTTCGTGTCTATTTTTTCCGTTTCGAAAATCAAATATATACTTGAAGTTATGTGTAATTTTGTCAATGTGTTTTATTACTTTTGTTTTAATTCCTTGTTCAATGTTCGATAAATTGAAATTATTATAAGTTATGAGCTCCAAACAATTCTCAAATAATTCTATTTAGTTGCGTTAAGTCTTCTGTAAATCGAAGCAGTTTTTTTATATAAGGAATTTTATAGGTTTGGCTGGAATGGAGTTCAAGAGTTGGGGCAAAGGGATCGGAATCGTCTTTTCGCGGAAATCCTGCTCCTGGCGCTGCCGGAGGACGACATAGTAAGGAGGTGCAGCTTCGAGAAAAGGTTTACCTTGTTGCTTGGCAATTAAAAGAGTCGAGACGATGAATTTATTTTCAGTACCCTCCACAGCACTCTGGGTCGCCTTAAGAAGCTCAATTAATTGGGTAGACACAACCAGGTCAAAACAAAAGGAATCAGAGGAGAAGCGGCCGGAGCTCTTAAAAAGTGTTGTGGGGCTGCGGTAGGTAAAGGAGCTTCTGGGAGATTATGACTAAAAGCCATGTAAAAAGATTATAGGTATGGGCAACAACCAGGTGAAAATTTTCACTGTGGTCTTTCCGGATCAATGCAGGAACTTGCATATTATAGTGGCAAGAAGGGGAGACCCCAGTACAGCCTCTTGGTGACTGTGCTGCTCTGTTCTTAGGAGAAAAGAAATACTGAGGAACTTTGCTCTCACAAGTTGACCTTTTATAAGTAACATGAAGGCGGGGGATCTCGAGCGGGTTTTTCGTTATCGTTATTAAGCTGAGGTCTTCAAAATTGATCTTTCTGAAAATCGTCCGATGTACACCTTCCTTCGTAATTCGGAAATATTTTCGTTTCATAGCCATGTTGTTTTAACATTTTTGCTTAATTTTTGGTATTAAAAGTAAAGAGAAAGTGTTAAGTTTCACGCAAAAAAGAGCTTAAATTATATTTCCTAAATTAAAAAATTCTTTGCTTCCAATTTAAAATTGCATAGAAGGAAAATCCCATGTGAACTTCAAAATAAATAATCGTAAAAATTATTGTGCCTGCCACATTTTCCTTAAACCCGGATAAGTGTACAAATTGGACGCCTTTGTGAGGACCAGCGATAAGGAGAAATTGCTAAGTATTTTACAAAACTTTGTAATCACAAAACAAATCCTTATTTTCTTATTTTAAATGTTAGCAATAATTTTTTAATTCCATATACATATGTACGTTATGAACTATTATTTAAATTTGATTTATAATGGAATTTACATAAGAGCGTTTAAATTACATTAAGTGACATCTTCGTTGTGTATTTTTATCAACGGAGATGTTATTTAATTGAACTAAACATTGACAAAAATGCACAACGGAGATGTTATTTAATTAAATTAAACATTAAAACTTTAAAAAAACATTATGAAAAGGGTGAATTTAGCTCAAAAAATAAATTTTTTTAAGAATATTAAAATGATGCTAAGGTCGGATAGATATTTCAAAATTTATCTGTCTTGTTTTAATATCTGAAGATACTCTTCATTAATTAGTTTTTTTTTAAATTTTTATTTTCATAAAAAGTTGTTATATTAATAAAATAACTAGTAAATTATTAAAATTAATTCCGTAATCCAAATTGTAATTTGGAAAACAATTAACGTATCAAAACATATTTTGATACAAATTTTATTTTCATAATTTTGTTTGAGAACGGCAAACTTTTGAAATTTTTTTGTTTAAACAGGTTTTTAATTATAACAAAAATTGAATTAAATAATTTTACAATTTTTAGAATACGTACAAACAATAGTGAAGACTATGGTATTCAAACAATATATACATCATCCGCAAACATACCAGTGAATCAAAATAAATCAGTTAATACCATTGTGAAAGATCAAAAAACTCAATACTTTTTTATTATTTCTAAAAAAAATGTAAGGTGTAAATGATAAATTTTTGCAAGCTAAAAACATCATTGTCTTTCTAGGACACAGCTTTACCAATGAAAATATTAACAACAAAGTTTAAGTCAAAACATTCTAAAAATTTGAGCCAAAAAAGTTATGAAAAACAAAGTGGAATTCATGATGAACGTTATGACAAAAATTCCTTAATGCAAAATCTCGACTCGAAAATTCAAAACAACTATTCTAAAACCAGTTTTATTAAAAATGATAACAATAAACATGTTCTTTTTTTCGACCAGCATCAAACAAATCTTCAACCACAGCGTCGAAGTGAAACGAATTTTGACTGCGTCAAATGTCCTCCGGAAAAAATATTTATCGCCCCAAAAGGATTTGATAGCGTCATAGTTGATCAGCCCAAATTATTTTCCTGCAATAACAAAGCCATTTTAAATAAAGCTTATTTTGTTGAAACTTTGTATGGACCAAGATTCAAATTTTTATTACCACAAGGTACTCACAGAATATATGGGAGAATTAAAAATAAAATGACTGAGAAAGCTGTACAAACATGTATGCTCCGGTATAAAGTAGTTGTTAGACAATGTGAAAAAATTGTTTTGTCATCAAAAAACATAAATGTGAACTGCGATCTCGGCCAAATATGGGGGTCGAAATGCACTTTTATTTGCCACCGGGGATACTTAAGCGTGAACACTTCCGTAATTTGTAATGACAGCTTGCAATGGGAGGGTGAGCAACCAAAATGTTGTAAGTATATTAAACGCATTCTAAAATCTTACTTCTTAATTAAATTTATATTTTTTAATTGCTGTCTCAGTACTACAACCATCATCTAAGAAAAATCAGTCTTGCAATTTTCTACCTGTCCCCAAATATGCAAGGTTTTCCTGTCAATATCCAAACTACGCAAAGACACATCACTTTGAAAATCCTACGATGAAAGCCCCAGCTGGAACAATGTGCCATATCAAATGTAATCGAAATTTTGAAATTATTCCAGATTTAAAATTTAGTGCTAATTTGAAATGTATAGACGGTAAGTGGAATGCAACTGTATCAAATATATGCCAACCCAAAGGAATTGGTAACCTCTAAAAATACGGTCCATGGCCTCGCTCCAAAATAAAATATAAATTTTAAGTTCGCTGTTTCAATTGTGTAAGATCTTTGATGGTCTATGTATTAAATCTTCTAGAGATAAAATATATTAAAACTAAAAGATGTTTTCATCATTGCAGAATCTGTTTAGTTTTTTCTATGTGGCAGATTAAAAATTTTATCTTATTTTATTTTTCTGAAGTAATATTAAAAAAAAGGGCCAAAAAAATTTCCTGTTGTTCAATATATTTGTTGTACATGGTCTGAAAAATAATGGAACTCACATTTTTTATGGAACATCATGAGTTTATCTTACATTCATGAACTCGTATTTGTTTCAAATGTCTTGTAAAATGCGATTCAAAATCAATGCACTTTTTAAAATCTTTATACATATAACATTTTCTTTGCATTTCGACCCCCATTTTCTTACAATTACTTGACGACTAAAGTTTTTAAACCATATAACTCTCATACCAAAACTAGTATGAGAGTTACGAAAACTCTTATATTATAAGCCATTTATAATAGTGTTACTAGAAAGAGAAAGCAATACATTGTAGAAAAAATATATCGGTCTTAAAAATTTTTTTAAGAAAAATGAAACAAAATGTACATATGTTTACGTTTATGATATGTAATTAATAAATATTTGTATTCAAAAATTTAATATTATAAAATTATAAATATGGGAAATTAAAATATTTTTTTTGCCATGGTAAAAAAATTATTTGCTGGCATTAAAATGTTATTGATAAAAGTTGATATTGTACTTCGAAAAAAAGCAACGCCAACAAAAAATAATTAAAATTTAAAAAATTTTTATACATATTTTTTAGCCCTGTAATATCTTATTTTTTTTTTTTACATAAATTTTAAAATTTAAGAATTGTTAAGCAAAAAATAAATATACTAATATGCATAAATTCCAACTAAAGCTCAATAATAATATTCAAGTAAAACTATAATTTTGTATTTCATTAATTTTAATTTAATAATTTTTATACAACAAATATTTTGCGGACTTCTTTCCAAAAAAAGAATTCTTATTAGGGTTAAAATTTAGATAAGGAAAAATGGTAATACTAACTAAAATGGCCTTGCCCAAAAACTAGACTTATAAAGAAATTCTTTTAAGAGCAGAACTCTATAAGAATTGAAATCTTATAAAAAATACTTTATGAGAATTAAAATATTTTATGGTTTGCTGAAAGCAGTTCTGCTATGAGAGTAATTAGAATTTTTAACACTGCAAGTTCTAAGTCTTTATTGTAAGAACTTTATTGTAAAAAAATTATGAGATTATTCGAGGGTGGTATGAGAGTTTTATGAGATTTTTGATAAATTTTTTTGGGTATTACTCTTGGAAACTGTTACTTGGGTTAGAGCCTACGTGTAGATTATTCGCAAATCGATATATGTATGTAACAATAATACACTTGGAGTTCGTTTTCTTTAAATGACATTTAAATTATTGCAGAATGTGTTTTTATGCTACAGCATCATTGTCACTTTTATGAATTCCGTGGTGTGGACTCTGTTTCAAAGAGTTCCTGTCAATAAAGTCTTTTTTGCCGAACCTTTTATATATATTAATATAATATATTCAACTGGCTTTCGAAATTATGTGGCTCATAAGTTGTAGATTGTACGCCGCGTGACTGCATGTTATAACCTTAAACCGTAATGCTTTTTCATGCTTATATGTTTGTAAACTTTTTATAGGCTTTTCTTGAAATTTTTTGGAAGTTTATAGATTCATTTACATATATGTATATGCATGTTTTCAAAAGTGGAATGAATAAAAGCATATTATATTATAATTCATAATGAAGTAATCGTTTTTGAGTGGGGCCAGCATCTCTCTTGAGAATTATAGTGTTTCTAATCTTTCTCCACCTTGGCCACCGTCAAGGGTAGTTCCTCCAGTTGATGTAGGCAGGTTTGTATGGCCAAGCTTGATCATCTCCAAGGTAGTTTTTACATTCGATAACTTCACCGGAATCCATGAAGAGCTCGCGACCTGCTTGGGATTGAATTCCTTGACTAGCTTCACGTATCCCTTATGTCAATCATGGTCTCTACATGAGAAGTGTAGTGAGTACCGAACCTACTTGGATATCTTACAAAATTTAACTTCTCCATTGCTGATCTCACGAGTTGTTGAGAATTGATGTCCATCTAAGCAGAGGTCCGCCGCACTTAGATTATTCTAATACTTCGTTCGCGACTGTGCTATTTATCTTGACCCCGAGCTAAGCTGATTATCGGCACTGGTCGTTAATTCAGCCCGGGGAGTTTGGAATGATGGGATGTTCTGGGGAGGTTATAAAAGGAACTAATTATCTCTTGGATAATCAGTCTCTGATCTAATCTGGGGCAAGTCTGGAGAATCCTTGATCCTATTTCACTTCTACATCGTGACAAGGCAGGTCATCAAGTAGAAGAAATATGTTATTACTATTTATATATACATGGCTAATGATCTCATATTATATTTGCGATTTTTGTTTCTTTGTCTCTCAGTAGGCTTTCCACATAAATTATACTAAAAATTCCATTTATTATATTTTAATCAAAAAAAGGGTGCAAACATAGAAATGGAAAAGAGTATAAAGAAGAGCATATTTTGTTCATTTTTGTATAACCATGGCTTTATTTTCGAAAATGGTCGTGAGTTTTAAGAGGTATCGTATGAGTAAATTTTTTGTACACCGACATGTTGAAGTGTTTTAAGGAGACGGTGTCTATACTTTAACTAAATTATAATTACGAAGAATTAATATTTGTTTTGTAAAATAAGTAAAAGTTGTTATTGTATATTTTATTTAAATTTTTTGAGTAAAAATTAAATGGCTAAAAATTTGTGAGTAATAAAAAATAAAAATAAGGAAAGAATAACAAATCAATTTTTTTCAATTGTAATATTGCTGGCACAAATTAAAACTCAACGCATAAAAGAAAAAAGTTAATTTTTTTAACCCTACAACCGGGTATGAAACTGAATTTTTCCAGAAAGCGGAAAAAAGAGCGTCGTGTTTACAAATTGTTAATACAATGCTTTGCACAAATTTTCACTCAAACCTTACAAAATTAGAATCACGTACTTTATTTAATAATATTTGCTTCGTAACATAAATATTAATTTTTTTAAAATCCAAAATGTATCAAAACACAATGTATAATTAAAACTTTTTTGATTATATTACATTAAAAAAAATTAACATTGTATCGGGTATAAGTTTTTTTTTGAGACATTAACGATGTCACGAAAATGCATAAGTGGCAACTTTAAGAAGCAGATAAGTGAAACATCATCTTTACTCAAAACATTTTTCGCTATCCGTTTTCGACTGCATGTAATAAAAAGTTCTTCATTACTGGAGCCGTCCCTCAACTCTTTTGCAAAATTCTTTTGAAATTTTTTGTCTTGCTGTTGACCAACATAGGAGTGATAATTTCATTTATAGAGTAAAATCAGCGATCAGTAATTTAACGAGATTTGTCTACGAAACTATCACATCACAAAACGAAGTAGTCTGGTTGATGTTGTATTTACTGATATTAGTAAGACTTTTAGCTACAGTTTTCGATATAGTGTTTCACTTTGTGGGTCCATTATCATTAGCAATGTCAAAGAATGAGTGGCAGTTATGTTTCTTGCCAAGTTCTGGATCTTACAGTCTTACTGATGGCACTGTGAGAAATGAAAATTAAAAAAAAAGGTTAGAAAATTTTTGTATTTACAAACATTGTCATTTAAAAAATATTTTAATTAATATATGTTATGTCTGGTTTACGTATGAAATGTGGAATATAAAAATTTATTTCTAAAAAGATAATTTTAATTAGATGGACATAAAATAAAGTCGCATAATACAAACAGGTAAGTATGTCGTTTTGAACTTTGGTTTCTTCCTTACAACAATATAATAAATTCTCGATTTTTTATTTTTTCAACAGGTGGTTCAAAATAATATAATTATGCCAAAAAGGATAAGCGTATGGAAACATAATTTTAAAAATACCGTAATAAAGCTCTGATCTGTCGAATTAAAAGTCGAACATACATGATTCAAAACAGATATTCCTGGATTTTTCCAGGAATCTGGATCTTAGATATTCCAAAAAAGTTTGTTAAGTACTGCTGGTCAACCTATTTCAAAAAAAAAAAGGCGGGCCGCGGAACAGAAATGCCCCAAAACATGTAAAACACTTTGCATTTTTTTTAGACGTTTTTAATTTTTGTTTTATTTTTTTCGGCATCCATCACAGAATCGGAAAGAACATTTGTGAACATAAAATATTAATGGTCAAAAAGTTCCAAAAGGATTTTCGACATGCACTTTTTTTTTAACTTTTCACTGAATTTTAATAAAATAAGTACCAAAATTAATTAAAATAAATATAAGATTAAAAAAAATGGCGGAAAGTAACTTAACATCGATTTGTAGTAAATGTAATAAAATTTGTAAATTAACCGGAACTAATTTTTTAATTTGTGATGGTGATTGTAAAAAACCTTTTCACAAAAACTGCACTGGTTTATCCAATCAGAAATTTGCGGATGTGTTAAAAAACAAACTAATTTTTTAATTTGCGATGGTGATTGTAAAAAACCTTTTCACAAAAACTGCACTGGTTTATCCAATCAGAAATTTGCGGATATGTTAAAAAACAAACTAATTTTTTAATTTGCGATGGTGATTGTAAAAAACCTTTTCACAAAAACTGCACTGGTTTATCCAATCAGAAATTTGTGGATGTGTTAAAAAACAAACTTATTTGGTTTTGTATAAAATGCACATTAGAACGTGATCGGCGTCGTAGTACGATATTTTCTACACAAAATATTAGAGAAAATATTAATGGAACAACTCCTCAAAATTCAATGAAAACTAATGCTACAAGTGAAAATCTAAATGATTCTATATTTAACATATCAGAAAAGGATAATTTAAACATGAAAATGCTGTAGATATATTGATACAAAAAAATACAAATATGAAGAATGAAATTAAAATCCTCAGAGAAAATGTAGATGATTATAAAAATATATGCGAAAATTTGATTTCAGAAAATATGAATTTAAGTAATGAAGTTGACATATTAAAAAATAAAATAAATAATATTGAATCAAAAATATATAAAAATAATTAAGAGAAACATAATAAAGTCATAAAAGTGTGTGGTATTAAAGAGGAGCCAAATGAAAATTTACATGATATTGGATTAAATATTTTAAAAATATTTGATTTGGATCCTAAGGATCATGTAATTAAAGATATTTCTAGAGTTAATTACATTGATAATAAATCAAGTGGTCCAACACCAATTGAAATAAAATTTTCCAAAATGTCCACCAAATTAAAACTAAGATAAATATAAAGAATATAAAAAAAATAAAAAAAGTTTTCTTCATAGTGGTATGGTAGCTAATAACAACAGTACTCATCCAGTTTATATAAATGAAAGGTTATGTAAATATTATAGTTTCTTGTTCAAAAAAAAAAGAGACTTGAAAAAACAAGATAAAATTGCGTTTGCTTGGGTAAACAATGGAAAATTTTTTATCCGTAAGGATTTTAAAGGTAAAATTTTTCATATAAAAAACTTAAATAGCCTAAATGAGTTTGACAGATAATTTTAATTCATTTTTGTTTAACCCAAGTAACAAATTTTTCAATACTATGTCAGAAATTAAACTTGAAAACAACAAAAAACTAAACATTCTATACTTAAAGGCACAAAGTATAAAAAACAAATTAGAAGAAATAGAAATCATGCTAGAAATCTTAGAAAATAATATTGACGTAATATGCATAACTGAAACCTAGATTAAGGCAAATGAAACATATTACTTTAATCTATTGAATTATAACTCCATATTTTCTTGTTGAACTTATAAAACTGGTGGTGGTTGTGGCATTTATATTAACAAGAACTTAACTTACCTACAAAATTTTCCTTTCAGTAATAACTTCAACAGCTTTTTGAGTATTAATATCAATAAGAATAGTGATAAATGTTGCATCATAAATATTTACAGAGCACCTAGTGAAAATCTATCTGAATTCAAAGAATTTCTGAATATTTTAGATGATTGTATAAATAATACGAATTGCGTTTTGGACACATACATAACACATGATTTTAATATTAATTTATTTGATAACACCAATAGAACCAACAATTATACTAATTTTTTAAATATGAATTATTTCTATAGTTGCAATAATAAATTAGCTACTAGAATTTTATCTAATACACTTATTGATCACCTATTCACAAATAATTTAAACGAACAAATAACTTTATCACATGTTTACATTAATTTATTTGATCATAATGTTATTATAATAGAAATAGATAAAAACAATGTCATAATTACATGTGTTGATGATATAGGATCTGACAGGGTTGGCTCATTTAAATGTACACATATGGTCAAAATGACTCACTTATTGTGTCAAGAGCAAATTTGCCTTGATAACACAAAAAACTGCGAAGAAATATTTTCCGATTATATATCAGAATTTAAAGAAAAAATAAAGCAAAAATAATAAAAAAATGTAGAAAAAAGCCTTTACGTAATAATAAAAAGTGGGTTGATAAAGAATTAATCAATGCAGTTGAATGTAAAAATTATTGGTTCTCTAAATTCAAACATGATAAAAATAACATACATTTAGAACGTAATTTTAAATTCTATAGAAATCTGGTAACTAAATTGAGAAGAGAAAAGAAAAAAAAATATTTTGAAACTGTGTTTAATGAATGTAGTAATAATCCTGCAGAAACTTGGAATTGTAATAATATGATTATTTACAATAAAGATAAAGAAGATAAAGCAGTAGATTTTTTGTATGGGCTAAGCAACACTGAAGCAGAAAGCAAAATTAATGAGCTAAATATGCATTTTGCTACGATTGGGGAAAAATTTGCAGCTAAAATTGAAAGTAATATATACTATGAAGCATCTAGAACAAACAAACTATTTAATTTCGAAATTGTGAACGAATATGAAATAAATCGTGCGATTATTAGTTTGAATAAATTCAAAGCGATTGATATTCATAATATGTCATATAACATGCTCAAGTCTAGCCAAAAATACATTTGTGAACAGCTTACAATAATTACAAAAAAGTCGCTAGTTGAGGGTATTGTTCCAAAGGACGTAAAAACTGGAAGAATTGTGCCAGTATTTAAGACTGGTGTGAAAAGTGTTCTTGACAACTATAGACCAATATGCATTACTCCTGTGTTATCTAAAGTAATAGAGAAAATAGTCCACAACCAGTTATCAGCATATTTGGAAAAACACAACCTACTCTTCGTAAAACAATATGATTTCAAAAAAAAATCTTGCACTGAAACTGCTATTGTTGATTTGATTAGTAAAGTTCAAAGCTTAAAAGACAATAGAAAAATAGTGTCACTTGTGTTTATTGACCTCAATAAGGCATTTGATATGGTAAACCATAATATATTACTAAAAAAGTTGTATGGATTTGGAGCTAATGGGAAAGAATTCAACTGGTTCGAGTCGTATCTAAAAAATCGTTCTCAATTCATCAAAATTGATAACCTCGAAAGCGGAAGGGTTAAATAAAAATTGGAGTACCACAAGGTAGCACCTTAGGACCACTTCTGTTTAATTTGTATATCGATAGCATACGACAGCTAGAAACTAACAACGTAGATATATATTTATACGCAGACGATATTTGTTTAGTTTTTCAAGCAGAGAATTATAATCAATTAGAAATTACAATAAATATTCAAATTAAAAAAATATTTGAATGGATGTCGACGCATAAACTTGTCATTAATATAAGAAAAACCAGGGTTGTGGATCGATCAAGAACTAAAATGGAACACACACACAACTAAACTTAGTAAAAAACTCGCTGTTGTAGCTGGAGTATTTAAAAGAATCTCATTGTCAATTCCAAAAACTGTCAAAAAATCGATTTTTTATTCTTTATTTCACAGTCACATAAGCTATGGAATTAAAATATGGGGTTCTGCTACTAAAGAAACAATTGGTATGCTCCAGACAATCCAAAATAGAGCGTTAAAGAATTTATTTAATTACCATTGGAGAGAACCTACCAAATTCATTCATCAGGCTAATGATATTCTGCTTATAGATGATTTGTTCAAAATAAAATTAATACTTCATATCCATGATTTAAGGTACCTTAATATTCATTCTTCAGCCGTTTTAACAAAAAGAAGTGACGTACATTCAGTAAATACGAGAGATATAAAGATTTGTTACATGTAAACAAAAAAAATACCTCGCAGTTTGGAACATCAACTTCTATGTATATTGCCATAAAACTATATAACGAGCTTAATAATTGCTTAAAACATCTCGATGCATTTATGTTAAATTAAGAAAAGAGTTACAGCTTGACACCATAATAAAACATATTATTGTTTTCTATTTTTCTATTCTTTGTTTTCTTAAAAATTCGTAATTCAGTTTTTTGTTTTTAATTTTTTTGATTTTGTTTTTAATTTTATAATTTTTGATTAGTAATTTTTGTTTTTTATACCTTTCATTACAATTTCAATTTTGCTTTATACTTACACAGATAAGTACTTACTTATTTTTGTTATCTTTATAATCTTTAAAATCTTGTACATATTTGATTTGTATACATATAATCATTTTTATTTTTTCTATTTTTTCTACCATTTTCATGAAATTTAATATTAAATAGATAGTCAATCATTTTATATTACATTGTAAATTTACAAAGTAATTCATAACTTATGTACAGGTTTTATTTACAGGTTGTTGCAGCAAGTAGAGATAAACTGTTTATAAAAAGGAAAAAACTACGTTTAACAATATTGCTAACGCCACATTAAACAATATGATTGCGATTTTTACCTTTTTATAAGTAGAACACAACTTGCTTTACTACATTCAATTATAGTTCAGCAGCGTTCAATGTACATATTTGGCAATGAAGGAATTTTAACAAGATGTTAAAAATTATGTAAATAGTGATCACTTACTATAAGGTATTATTCCAAACCACCAATTTGGTTTTCGAGAGCAAAATTCCACTATTGAGCAAACGCATCGAGTGGTTCGTAAAAATAGACAAGCAATGAAGAACAGAGAGTATTGTTTTGCTGCTTTCTTGAATGTAGAGCAAGCATTCAATAATGGCTGGCATGATGATCTGCTGCACAAAATGGAAAATTTGTTTCGAAATTCGTATTTATGGTTAAGTGCAAAGAGGATTATTCCAAGATAAGTATATGAAATGAGAGCTTCAGTTCCACAAGGTTCTGTTATATGGCTCGGTTCGTACTCAATATATACAGTAGATTTGTCAGTAACTAATGAAGTTTAAACCGCCAAGTATGCTAATGATACCGCATTCTTAATCCATGATAAAAACCCTGATCAAACATCAAAAATTTTACAAGCGCTTTCAATAAAACTGACCAGTGGATAAAAAAATGGCGAATAAAACACAGTTCAAATAAATCGGTTCACAATGCACCGATGGTAATTTGCACCTTGGTTTGCTAGAAGTACTGGAATGCACCTTGGTTTGCTAGAAGTACTGGAATACACGGTTACTTGAATACAATTAAAGAAGAAATAAGGAATCGTATTGCTAAACATAAAATTGAGTTAAAAGAATAAAGGAAACTATTATGCAAAGACGGAGACATCTTTAGATGACATCGGAGACGGATATCTGAAACGACGGGATATTTTAAGCCTTGATAAGAGATTTTGACAATTTGAACTAATTTAATATTTAGCAGGGATATTTAAATTAACTTGAAATAGAAACTAACTTAATCTCAGAAAATATGTGTTTACTGGAACATTTCTCAATAATGTCAGTGGCCTAATAACAAACGCTTTAATTATTGTTCTTTTTACGCATTGTAAATAGATAAATAAATAAAAAAAAATCATCTAAGGTGAAAGGATATTTTTCATTTTCCGGAGTCGAATTTTCTTTTTTCATAATCTTATTATAATTAAGAGTTTAATTTAATTTTGGCGGAGTCCAAATATTTTTGTTTTTGTAAATTGCTAATGTCATAAATATTGATTAATTTTAACCAAAACTACAAAAAAAAGAAAAAACTTACTCTAGTAAATCTATACCATCTTTCTCCATCATGTTTGAAATTAAATTAAGTTTTTGCAATTACGGAAATTATCGTCGTCACCTTGAAATTATTTTGTCGTATATCCTGAAAATACAATTTTGGGAGTTTGAGGTTTAAACTAAAAAACAAAACATTGAGCCGCAAAATTGCCTAATTTTCAATATTAATCTTGTTGTATGATCAATTAGCTTTAAAATGATAGTGTAGAATTAAGATAGCCTGAACAAAAATTTCCAGATTCAATAATGCGCTTACGACTTCAATAATGCGCTTACGACGTAAATTTTACAGAGTATCAAATTCCAAAAAGTTTAGTAGAAGCTCTTGGAATTGTACACTTTTTCTAAATGCGTTTTATTACTTTATATTACCATTTATTTTCAGCAATTAAGTGCTAGTTATATCAAAATAAAAAATTTTTTTAAATTTTTTCCTAAAATACAGTATAACAAGTAAAAACGTTTCAGTCAGTATAAACCGATTGAATTATACCCTGCATCTTTCGTTGTTGTATAGCAATTACTCAAACCTGTGAAACCATTCTATAGAAATTTCACGGAAATGTCTGATTTATAACTGGACACACAACCGCCAAGTTTCATGAATCTGACTTTATTTTTCTAAATATTTAAACTTTTGAACTTGTATGGGAGCTACTCGTAGCTGTAGAGCTATTCAACCAAAACTTCAGAAATATATCTGACCTATAACTTGACACACAACTGCCAAGTTTCATGAATCTGACTTTATTATTTTTCCAAATATTTAAAATAAGCTTCTGGAGTTGTATGGCATGTACCCGAACCTGTCAAGCAATTCCCCTAAAACTGCAGAAATATATTTGACCTATAATTGGACACATGACTGCCAAGTTTCATGAATCTGACTTTATTATTTTTCCGAATATAAAAAATTTGCTGTTGGAGTTGTATGGCAGCCACCCGAACCGGCGCAGTTATCCCATTATAATTTTTAGAGCATGTGTAGAATATAATTGGACACATGTATACAAAATTTTATATTTACAGCTTTATTAGTTTTTGAAATATTTAAAAAAAACTCTTTGAGTTGTATGGCAGTTACCCGAACCCGTTGTGCGAATTAGTCCAATAACAATAGGGCTCGTCCTTGGCACAAAAGAAAAAACTTGTGAAAGTTTGGTGTCGATTGCACTATTCGTTTTTGAGTTATCGTGCGATCGGACGGACGGACGGACGGACGGACGGACGGACGGACGGACGGACGGACGGACATGTCTAAATCGACGCAGAATTTTACGCTGAGCAAGAATATATATATATGTCCATACCGCAGGTGACTCCTTCAAGTAGTTACAAACTCCATACCAAAGTTAATATACCCTTCACGAAGTGCAGGGTATAAAAATGCAATGTTTTTAATGACTTGGTAACGTTTGTTAAAAATTAACATTTGCACAAAACTTTAAATTGAACTTTTCAAACAAACGTCAAAGTATATAATAATATTGTAAAAATTGTATCCCAAAATGTACGAAAAGCTTTAGTAGTTTTTTTTACAATATTAAGGTACTGAAAGCTTTGAGACGGTACTACTACCGTATTAATACTGTACTTCAGTCTTTTTTACAGCATTATTGAAGTCACGGATTGTGAACGTTTCTCTATAAACCATCTTGTCTTAAAGGCCACGCTTTACGTTTTTTTTCATTTCCGCACGTACGACAAACAATGTGTGGATATATTATGTACGAAAATGCATCAATATGATAATACTTTAAAGTTTAGTATCCAAAAATGTCAAATACGCATCGCATGAGTATCATATTACATCAGCTGTGCATCAATTTTTTTTGTGATTTTGTATTGACACAAAGTTTTTTAAAAGCTGAGAAATAAATAATTTATTATTTTAACTCAATAACTAATAATAGAGTTAATTATTTCTTCATGCACGGTATTCATATTTTTAAATGTTTCATTATATTAAAATCTCCAAAACTTAATTGAAATTGAAAGAGTTTTTAATAGACTTTCAGTTATTAATAATTTCAATACTTATACACAAAACCTTTTCAAAATAAACGCCAAAAAACATACGATTTGGAAAGTGTCAAAAAATGTCAAAATAGTATTGCATCAGCAAGGTAAACGCATTACATAGGTATAGGCATCAGCATTTTTTTTTTGCTTCGACGCTACATTGATGCAAATTTTTTATTACTTTCCGACTATACTCATAATTACAAATACTGAATATCAAAGTATACAATGTAAATTTAAAGTTATCTTATAGTGCTTTGATTTTGGGGTTTATGATTCCGATTTAAGAATGATTTGTCAAAAATAACTTACTCTATTTCAAATAACCCACGAGAGAGAGAATTACAAAATGAAACAAAAATTTAAATTAAATTTTTTCTATTTAAATATAATATAAACAATTGCGTATTTTAATATTTTAACAAATAAAATAAAAATTTGTACTTCCTAACTCCGTTAAATTTTTCTTCTTGGTCTATTAAACAAAACGGTTTTACCTTATATTACAATTTTTCTTAAACGCCCAATTCGTATAACTTTTCATTTCTTTTTAAATAAGTTTAAATTTGTTTATGAAAATATACTTTATATATATAATTTTTCATTAAATTTGTAAATGAAAAATTATATATAAAGTATTCAAAATAAAACAGCTCGCTCAAAAAGCTACAATGATCTTACAATTTCGATTGTAAAAACTAAAAATGAATTGAATATGTACTTTAGTAATAAATATTTTTAAATACTCAACAAACTTCAGTATCAAAAGTATTAAAAAATTTGAACTCTCTGTCCCACAATTTTTTAAAATATATATTCTTACCCAGCATTTACACGTACAAGTTACTTGCAAGAAAGTTGCAATACGTACAAAAATTTTACTAACACATTGAAATATTTCTACTTGCTTGTTTACTTGCAGTTCAACTTGCAAGAAAATTTTGCTGCCAGTAATTTGAGCAAGTAATTTGACATATTGAGAAATTCACAAAAAAAAATTTGTTGTTTTGATTTTTTTTTTTTTTTAATTTAAAATTTTTGAATTTTGTTTTGAAAAAATTAAACTTAGCAAACTTAGCTAGTTGTTTTCTTCTCAAAGACATTTTCAAAAATTAACTTGCTAAACCCAGCATTTACACGTACAAGTTACTTGCAAGAAAGTTGCAATAAATACAAAAATTTTACTAACACATTGAAATATTACTACTTGCTTGTTTACTTGCAGTTCAACTTGCAAGAAAATTTTGCTGCCAGTAATTTGAGCGAGAAATTTGACATATTGAGAAATTCACAAAAAAAAATTTGTTGTTTTGATTTTTATTTTTTTTTAATTTAAAATTTTTGAATTTTGTTTTGAAAAAATTAAACTTAGCAAACTTATGGTTTCTAAAATTTATAAACAATTACAAAATGTAAAGAAAGTCTTTTCAAAATGAAAAAATTTTAAAAAATTTACTTTCAGTCTTTAATAAGTTGCATGGCATGCATTGATTTTGATTTTTTTTTGTAAATGTCAGTTTATTAATCCTTTATAGAACCTAATTGCGTTAAAATAATTTTCTAATGGAGAAACCACAAAAGAAAAGGGACAAAAACGAAGAAGTTCGACATATCACAATGTAAATAAAGTCTTTTCAAAATTAGTTTTTTTAATTTAATATTAGGAAAAAAAATAAAATGCAGCTACAATTGTTAAATTTAATACTTTACGTGGTAGCCCGTAGATTTGGAACAGCCCAAAGTCATCGTTTTATAGAAGAAGTCAATTTTTCCATATCAATTTAATCCGAAATTTTGGACAATTCTTCTATAATATGTTTTATACGGTCACTTTTGGATTTTAGTATACTTTTCGCCAAACTTTACTTCAAGTGGGCCCAAAAATCCTCAATTGGATTGAGGTCTGGACTTTAGGGGAGTGTTTCGAACACTTTTGGGCAGTCATGAAGCAAACAGCTTCTTACCAAATAAGATTTATACTGCAAGCGGTTATACCAATAGAATTTATAATAACCAACAAGACCAAATTTTTCGACTTTGTTTACCAGGTTCGTTTTTAAAATGTCTAGATATTGTTGCTTATCTACATGACCATCTTTAAAAAACAAGTTTAACACCCCGCGACAACATATACAACTCCAAAACATTACAGATAATTTTCCAAATTTAACGATTGGTATAATATTTTTGTTGTTTGGAGCCTATAACGGATTTCCTCACACTAGTTGATCCTTGCTTGTTATATAGCATAATTTTAAATTCATCACAGAATATAACATCGTTGCAATAACGTTCTGATTCATCCTTATAAGTTTCGGCAAAACAAATATTATACCAATCATTAAATTAGGAAAATTATTTGTAATGTTTTGGAGTTGTATATGTTGTCACGGGGTGTTACACTTGTTTTTTTAAGATGGTCATATAGATAAGCAACAATATCTAGACATTTTAAAAACGAACCTGGTAAACAAAGTCGAAAAATTTGGTCTTGTTGGTTATTATAAATTCTATTGGTATAACCGCTTGCAGTATAAATCTTATTTGGTAAGAAGCTGTTTGCTTCATGACTGCCCAAAAGTGTTCGAAACACTCCCCTAAAGTCCAGACCTCAATCCAATTGAGAATTTTTGGGCCCACTTGAAGTAAAGTTTGGCGAAAAGTATACTAAAATCCAAAAGTGACCGTATAAAACATATTATAGAAGAATTGTCCAAAATTTCGGATTAAATTGATATGGAAAAATTGACTTCTTC